TTTTTTTATACTTTCGGTGGCCTACACTACAACAAGATCTGACCGGTTGTAGCGATAGGTGGCGTCAGAGATCATACGAGCAGCTTTTGTCCCAATGACGTCAGACATTTGATTAACCAATCAGCATTGATGTTACTAGTAGATTACCCATAGTTCCGTGCAATACAAGCCTAAAGCTCGCCGTAACAGACCGTTTCATTGGCTAATAGCTCACATCATTCAGAACACGTCAATGATAACAACTCTTCCAGATACTAGTGTAGTAAAGACAAGTAAAACGAAATTTTGAACTATAAAAACGGAACGAAGTAGGATCTGTGTTTTAATCAGATTGGCAAAGTCAAAGGGGTTCATATGGGTGGGCAGGAAATATATGAAAAAGAAAGTCAAGAAAAAATAGAGTTCGGATATTTTTAGTATTCTCCTGACCAACAGAAGGGCAGGAACGGATTTATGTTATGCCCTCTCTTTTCTATTAAAATCCGAAAGTAGCACTATTTGTCTATTTTGCATAAACTTGCTATATCTGTATTCTTTATTTTTTTATCCGCTTTTAGAGTTCTCGTAATATTGCACTGCCCCAAATTGTAGTGGGATTCTGGTTTTCTTCGTATATGGCAGATTTTGGAAGATTACAAAATAATAATTATTTATAACAAATTTTTACGAGTTGTTTGACCTATTGAGACACAAGAAATATGCATTTTCTTATATACAACTGTAGAAACGTTAATTATTGTATAAAAACGTGAAACGTTGATTTACATTTATCAAGCTTTAAAGAACTCGACTGTCTTTCATTTCTTAAACCTCTTACATCGGAACATTGCTTGAACAGCTAAAACGAAGAATGCAACAAATTCATTTTTATTGGCAAAAAGAAAGCCATTGTCGACACATTGGAAAACAAATAATCATAAAGATTATGCAAAATCAAAAGAAACGTTTGACTTTTCTACTTTGTATGCTATGCTTCAATATTTCTATTGGTTCTTTCATGTATTCATTACTAGGCTTGACATTTATACACCGTGTTTAAGGTCATGAGACACAAAAGCCTGTTGATTTTCAAATATTTCCGATAATTACCTCCAGAGTTATGACCCTTGATCACTTTGGAAAATCTTGTGGACGCTCCATAGGCTAAAGTTATAACCAATTTACTTTAAATTTATACACAGTGTTTAAGGCCACGAGGCGAAGAGACCTATTGATTTCCGATGCTTACTATCAGTGTTATTGCCCTTGATCACTTTGAAAAATCTTTTGGACGCTCTAGAGGCTAAATTTAATATCCGATTGATTTTAGATTTATACACAGTGTTTAGGATCATGAGATGAGGAATGATATTGATTGTCAACTATTTCCGATAATTACCAGCGTTATGGCCCTTAATCACTTTGAAAAATCTTGTGGGTGCTCTAGAGGCTAAAGTTGGTATCCGATTGACTTTACATGTATACGTAATGTTTAAGGTCATGAGATGAGGATTCCTACTGATTTCCACGATTTCCGATAATTACTGCCATAGTTATGGCCCTTGAGCACTTTGAAAATAGTTGGTATCTGATTGACTTCAGATGTATACACAATATTTAAGGTCATGAGAAAGCCTGTTGATTTCCAGCGATATCTGATAATTACTGCTAGTGTTATTACCTTTGATCACTTTGAAAAATCTTGTGGACGAGATGAAGATACCTATTGATTTGCGATGCTTACTACCAGAGTTATTGCCCTTGATCACTTTGAAAAATCTTGTGGACGCTCTAGAGGCTAATATTAATTTCTGATTGACTTTAGATTTATATACAGTGTTTAGGGCCATGAGATGGGGAAGCCTTTAGATTTTCAACGATTTCCAATAATTACTACCAAAGTTATGGTTCTTGATCACTTTGAAAAATCTTGTGGATGCTCTAGAGGCTAAAATTAGTATCCGATTGACTTAGATTTATACACAATGACAATGGTTAAGGTCATGAGATAAGGAATCCCATAGATTTTTCAACGATTTCCCATAATTACTATCCAAGTTGTGGCCCTTGATCACTTTCAAAACTTTTATGGATGCTGTAAAGTTAACATCTGATTTAACACAGTGCTTAACGCCATGAGAGGAGGGGGCGTATTGATTATCAATGCTTTCCGATAATTACTTCCAGAGTTATGGTCCTTAATACTAAATTTTTGTATAGTAAACGTTCGTATACGACAGAACTAGAAGCCAAACAAATTCTATTGATTTCTGATAATCTCTTAATGGGTTGTTACTCGTACTCCGATAATAGAGTGCTAAATCTTTCCATTACGAACCAAAGAAAAAGATATGTGACAACCCTTTTTTACTTCTCGGACGACTTAGCTGCTGTGGGTTCCCTTTTGTGCTAAGAGGTTGATGTGCTCCTTTCTTTGCAATTCCTTTGGTTAAAAGGTTCTTTAACGTTTCAAAAAATTATTTATAGAGAATGTTTAATATTTCAAAAATCTTTTTTAACAGAATTTACGATGAATGAGAATTTGTTGCTTTCGTAGCAAAATATAAGTGCAATGTGTCCGAATTCAATGAAAAATAATAATTTCTATAACATTCAATACATTGTAATTATATATTGGGGTGATTTAGTCAATGATTAAGTACAAGTCGATATTTATTCTAGAATACCACATTTTATTGTATTCTCGAACAATGATTAACTCAATGGTTAGGCTAATCAAAGTTTATAAAAATCTTAGCTTAAAATTTAATCAGCTTTTCAGAATATGGATGGTCAGATTAAATCTATGATTAGCACTAATCCACTTTCGAAAATACGGGCCTAACTTGGACTTAAGATTTCCTTTGAATACAGACCTGGTATCTAATAATGATGTATTATTCACAAAAAATGTTTGTACTGAACATGTATTTCCTGTGTTTGGCAGATGGAGTATTAAAACATATTTCTTTCACAAAAATCATCATTTTTGCTTAAAATGATAAAATCTTTACTGATTCGTGGCCTCACGGTCTATTTATAGTATCAATGACAAATAAAAGGCCTAAACATTGAATATTTAATTTATTTTCCACAACGTTTTGTTATTCAAATAATTGTATTTTTATCTCATTTTTGGGTAATATTGGCCCATTATTTTACAGAAATGGATTGATTTCTGATAGTAGGGGTTAATATTTGTTAGTATTTGGGTAATAAGAGTGGTCACTGGAATATCGAGGCATTGGCTTTCACTTTTGTCTTACAATTTTGCAGGTTTTCCAAGAATTAACTCAATTTTCTTTTATTTTATTGAAGTATTCTGTTAGTTTTTACAATATTCAGGTAGTATGTGGTGGTGTTTGGTAGTATTTAGTTAGTATTTGGTGGTATTTGGCAAATCGTCCCGCCCGCCATTCAGTGTTAAATTATCTTTCTAACAGTAGGCCTACCAATTAGGCCTATCTCAATTTATCACGGCAGTGCCTTCCAAGGAAAACCAAACATTCAAATGCTACAAGATGGTGTAGTGATTTGCCCGGAAATAAAGCTCATTGCGAATATCCAGTCTCCTAAATCTTAAAAGGCCTGTAGCTCTATTTTTTGGAACCTTAAAATCGACGAAAATGTATCTAAACCAGATATTAATGTAATTTTGATTGTAATTTCTACTTTAATGCAAGAGCTAAATCTGATTATTGCAAGATTTTATTTAGGCTTCAGATGTCATAGAAATTATAAATTAGAGCTTTATTTACACAACAAGCACAAAATCAACTCTGTAGATCTACGGATGGCTTGGATTCGGCTTGGATGGAAACAGGATTTCATTGATTGATTAAATTTTTAAATGGCGTCGTAAGCGGAGATTAACCGTTATGTTGACGTCATACTCCCGGAAATTTTAGATCGAGACTAAATGCTAGAGTGTACGAAGCGGGGCCGCTGTTGAGCGAGACCGCATATCAGTCAATTTGATTGAAAATTCGATATATACGGCCTTGATATTATGTTTAGTTGTGGTTAAAATGAGAGTTTGGATGTCGGTATTATACGCTCTTTTGTCACCTGCGTTTACAGAAATATTATGGAAATTGATAAATATCGCAGCTAACATCACCCCAGTTGAATTGCAGCCCTATTGGATCACTGTTTTCTATTTGTCTGCTTCGGGAGTTACGTACAAGAGTACAAGAGTAACAAGAAGTCGGCTGTAATTATGCCTCATTGATTTGGTCCATTCCTTTCAAACTTTCGCATCTTATCTATATATTAAAAGTCTTATTTTTAATTTGTAGTAAAAATAAATGTGATACGAATTGAATTGAAACCCCGTCTCAAATCGAATAGGCTAACGGTACCACAGCCATTGAAAACGTTTCTTGATAATCAAGATTATATAGGTGGAGTTAACGCCTGTCGATCAAACGACCGGCCATTCTCGGAGACAGTGAAAAGAGAGTTGATTCCTATTTCTAGTCAAAAATTACAATGGTTATAAGTTTGTTCAGAATAAAGTAATTTGACTGAAATTTTCTATATAGTCTTCTATCATCATCTATTTTTGAACTGGTATAGCAAGAATGGCCAACTCTCTATTAAAATCTCCCATAATGTATCTTTAATTCTGATCGGTGAAATACAGTCCGAATTGAACGACAGTCGTTTGCGCCTGCTTAGTTCATTCTACACGTTTTATAAAATTATTCTGCCGCTAGTGAATCAGCCATTTTTAATTACTGCCACATTGTCTTGTTGGATGTTTTTCTTTGTTCAGTACAATGGCGCTCGTTCATTGTGTATTAAATATTGGATTTTAGGATCCCATATTTTTGCGGTAAGATACCAACACCTATATTGAATTTTAATTTTTTGCAGTAACACCAATATTGGGCTTTGATTCGTGTTTTTAATAATTTCGAATATTATGGATACTAATGAGTTGGAGGTTACTGGAATGAATCAAGTAATGCCGAATATAAACCTTCCTAAACTTTGGCGATGATTTTCTTTAAACTTACCCGTAAGGCCAATTTAACTCCAGTTGTAATGGCTATAGATCTGTCTACATTTAACTCCGCATTAATAGGTATCTAAAGTTAAACATATTTGTTATTACAATATTGTATGATATACATAGAAATATGTTTTAAAATGTTATTTTTAAGCAATAAATAGCAGTCTAAAAGTGGAACATGTTTTAGTTACTAAGTTATTTCCACCATCTTCAGAATATATAATAATGAATAAATGGATTTGAATCCATGCAATACATGATCAAAATCATGAAATCCATTAAATTACGTTACAATTCTTCTACTTTAGTGTGCTAAATTAACGTATCGTTGGATACAATAAACACAAAATACCATTTTGCTATCCCCATCTAGTGTTTGGAATGGTCCCTGTGTTCTATTACTGTAGTAATTTACAACACACTTCTTGACTTTTTGATAAGCTGTATAGGTTCCATTTGACCACCAACTGGCTGTACGTGTACCTTCCGCGGTCCATTTGGAACCTGTAATTAAACATTTCATCAAGATAATTTTGTTACGACAGATAATTATAAATATATATTAATTTTCAGATTCTTGACTACAAACAATAGCAAAAGGTGTCACAACTCCAAGACTATTTCTCGGTGAACAAGGTTTGACGACGATTTCTGATAGAAGGAACTCTAGTAAAGATATTTGTAGTTTGCTACCTCTGAACACTACGGGCTAACTCCAGGAGAGCCGGAAATCCAAGATGGCGACTAAAAATGGTCTTGACAAACATTATGAGCGAAATGAGCCGTGAAATATACCATTTTACAGGTTTTGTTGGTCACCGGACCAATTTTGGACAGTTTCCGATTCATATCACAAACGGTTGATCCAATATGGCCGCCAAAATCCAAAACGGCGACAGAAATTGGCTCGAAAAGTATTCCTTCAATACCAATAGCAACATAAACGTGTGATACATCGTTTCGGGGTTTGTGGGTGACGGGAAACACGAGTATGTCATTTCCAAGCTGATAGAACTAATTTCAAAGGAGAAAGTATGCAGAATTAAGCATTACCACGACTACATACCGACACCTATAACAACCATGAATCTTATCCTTCATATATTACATCTATCATAATACATTATAACGCACTACATAATAATGTATTCCAAAGTATGACTCATTAATGTAAGAAAACATGCGTCAAGAGTCTTGAGTATTATGAGTCATCTATGAGACTTGCGCACTCAGATTGAGAAATAATGTTATTTTGGGAGTTATCGAATAAGAAGTTGTTTATACACTGATAGATAGGTCAGCGCGTGTGTAGCATATACTTTCCCGCCATCCCCAAGAGACCAATGTGGATTTGGATTCTGGGGTCTGTAATGTTATATTGTTAGGGCTGTTGGGGTTCATATTATTCTTGTATAACAAACAGATCTTCTCAGTCAAGACATTTTAGTCAAAACCTCGTGCAACTAACATCAACAGGTCGTGTTACCACCAATAGCTTCGGTTGTCATACATACATTACTAACACTACATTTACGACATACCCTGACCTCTCCCTTTCTTTTAAATCATTTATATTTATAGAAATGATTACAAACAATACAATTATACTTAACAAATTACTTATACGCAAACATGACACAACTTACATTATTTATCTTACACAAAGTTTTAAACTTAACATATCAAATATAAAATATAATATTGATATATCTTAAAGCTAAATTATGCTGAAGTACTAACTGTACACCCTTCTTTCCTCTTTTAACAAAAAATGTGAATAAAACATAACACGGATAATATATATGAAATAAACATGCACTATTTTACAAATTTAACCTTCCTGGACGTCTGATAACTCTTCTTGGTCTGGTATTAGTAACAGTATCAAAATTATAATTAGCTGTATCGTGATTTATAATAAATGGAAATGGATTAGGTTTAATATATCTATAATTTCTTCTAAAATTACCATCAGTTGTACTAACAACATACGAGTATTTGTATTAACACATCTTCTATCATAATAATACTTCATTTTACTTTGTCTCTGTTCTAATTTACTTTTTACATTTTCTTCTACAACAGGTTTTAAATTACTCTCATTTACAGGCAATACAAACCTTAATTCTCTACTCATTAATAACTTAGCAGGTGATCCAAAAACTGAACTAATTGGTGTATTTCTCAATTCTAACAAGGCTAAATAAAAAAAACATCTCCATTATCATGACATTTTTTAATTAAATTCTTTACAGTTTGAAAATTCCTTTCAGCCATGCGATTGCTTTGTGGATAATAAGACAATGACGTTTTACGATGAAATTTCCAAGCATCAGAAAAATTCTGAAACTCAAAAGAACTAAATTGCGGTCCATTATCAGAAAATATAATCTTGGGTATTCCATGTGTAACACACCAACTGTTTAACAACAACATATTTTGAATAATAATCTACACCAAGTAAATAATCTTGATTTCTATAACTAAATAAGTCTACCCCAATCTTTTCCCATGGTACATCCGGCACGTTATGAGGCATTGATTGCTCTTTACGCTTTTCCTTCTGATATTTAATACAGACAGGACAGTTTTCAATCATTTCAGTCACATCTTTAGAAATGCCTGGCCAAAATACATTTTCACGTACTCTACATAAAGTTTTCTCAGAACCTAAATGACTTACATTCAATTTCGTATTACAATAATATATTGTTTAAGTATCATATTATTACAAACAGTTAATTCATCACGATAATTCCAAAATATTCTAGGGGATCACGTGGCTAAGTGGGTAAGACGCTGGCTCGCTAGCCTGGAGGTCGGGTGTTCGATCCCTGGATTGGCCAAAAAAGTTCATCCAGATTTTCCGGCGTGGTTCCCCCTTGTCAGTGATGCAGAACGGAGGGCCTGACAAGGACAGCTGTCTAGTCCTTCGGATGATACGAAAAACCGAGGTCCTGTGTATATATTGGTATGCACGTAAAAGATCCCCTGGCAGTTGGAATTCGATATAATTTGGCGTATGTCCGTCTTCATTAGCCCAGCATAGGAGCAGAACAGTAGGACGTTAGACCCCATTTCATTTCATTTCGAAAATATTCTAATATTAGGTTTAACTTTACTTCGTTCAATTTGAGTCGGCAAGTCACATAAATCTTGACCACGTTTTGTTTCTTCAACCAGAAGAGAGAGAGAGAGAGAGAGACTAACAAGGTCATTTCGGGACTAACATATGGTATATTTTATTTTATTTCAATAATTCGCTTGCGCATAGGGGTCTTTAGCAGTGGGAGGAAACCGGAGGACCCGGAGAAAACCCACGAGGTTGGACAGGCGACCCTACCCCTCGTCACGTACAACCGGGGATTAGAAACCACGCCAGTCGACTCAATGACAGACTTTATGATACAGCGCGCACGCTAACCATTCAGCCATCCAACCCCCCACATAACTTTTGATGTTATCGGTTTAGATTGAATAATACTATCTACATGAATTTTTTTTATCAGTCTCAAGTGTAGTACCATGTCAGACGTGGAGAGCGGATACCGGGAAAACCGGTCGCCACATCCGGGTGTAACCCATGCAGCATTTCTTACTAAATATTTTGGAACAGCCCATCATCGTCTAGTATTGTCTCTGACCGCATTTGTTTCTTATTTTCTTCTTGGGACTGCACTTTAAATATTGTGTATTTATTCTGCCACTTATTCAGTTTATGGTTACACACAGTAACAGCAATACCAAATTCGTTTCTACATTTTATTTTAAGCACTGCTACATATAGGTTACATAGTAACAAGCATAAATTACAACAAAGTCACTCTCCACTCTCCACTGACGAACACCAACAGATCATGTGGCTCTCCTACGACTTAACTGGGCATTCTGAAACCAGATGGTGTCCCTTGAACCTCAACGGTCTCTCCCAACGAATTTCTACATGATGTGTCCTATGTCAAAGCTTCACGATGTCTAACTTAGAGCGCACATTCTATAAATTATATTATCTCAGATTCACAGCCATTAATTATTCTATTGGCTAATTAGGATGTAATTAATCATGTGATTGGTCACTCATGTCAAATATGAAATGGTAACTTTCCGATCACGTGCTTATTGCCTTGTATACTAACAGGGACTCATTACCAAACTTGGTCAACAGACACATTCCATTTCTGTCCATTTAGATAGCATATGACAAATGTGTTTATTTACATATAGTTCAATTCATGTATCATATCAGCACGGACCCCCTTTCCTGTTAATCTCACAATATTTCATAAACAATTTAATTTGCGTTTAAAAAAACTCATACCATAACTAATATACATTGTACTGACAATGGAGAATAGAAATAAAACATATGTATTTATCAAATTATACAGATTTTATTAATGCAATTGCATATAAATGAATTAAAAATATATACATTACTTACATAAATCATTCAGTAAATGGACATCTAATGGTTATCTACCCTTATAAAAACAAGCCAACAGTGAGGCTGATGTCCCCCGCCGAAATCCCAAAATAAATAGATGACACACATTAATTTGTTGCACATTTATTTTTTTTTCAAAGGTATCAAGCGATCAAACTATACACTAAGTTTCATCACTCTCTATCAGATAGAATCAAGATTATCTTGTCCCAAAGCATTGGCCAATGAAAGTGATTAACTCTGCTTAGCTTCAGCTCGAAATGTTAATCATTGAACTCAGTCAAGACATTCACCTAATGAACATCTACATCAAGTCTAAACATTCTATCTCAATTAAAAGCAGAGTTGTTAAGTCTTGACCAATCAAATTGCTTATCGCTCATTAGCCTAAGCAGAAAATTCTCACCATCGAAATTAGTCAAGGTAATGATATAATGAATCTATATTCGGAGTTCCACCGCTCTCACTTCATAATAACCAAAGTTATCGTGCCTCAAAGCATCAACCAATCAGATTGCTTATTTCTGCTTACCTCAACGAGACAATGTTCATCACAGAACGCCATCAAGACATTCGCCTAATGAACGCCTACACCAAGTTTAAACATTCTACCTCAATTAGAAGGAGAGTTATTGTGTTCCAAAGTCTCGACCAATCAAATTGTTTATCGCTCTGCTTACCCTCAGCAGAAAATATTCATAATCCAGTCAATGTATTGATGCAATAAAGCTATACACCAAGTGTCCTCACCCTCACTTAATTAGAACTAAAGTTATTGTGTCTCATGTATATCAACCAATCAAATTGCTTATCTCTGCTTACCCTAAGCCGAAAATTCTCATCTTCGAACTCCTTCAAGGCATTCATCTAATAGACACCTATTACCCTGAGCAGAAAATGCTCATTATTGACATTACCAAACTTAGTCAAGGTATACACCAATTTTCATCACTCTCACTTAATTAGAACTAAAGTTATCCTTCCAAAAGCATCTACCAATCAAATTGCTTATCTCTGCTTACCCTAAGCAGAAAATGCTCATCTTCGAACTCCATCACGG